AATTTGGAAGAATTAAAAGCAGTAATTCAAGAAGAATGGGACAAGATTAGTTCAAGTTCAAGTTCAAGTTTGAAGTTTATTTCGTTCATGAATGTGTTCCAATAACAAAACCTTTTTTTTTTTTTAACATCTTCATATCCATATAGTTTACACAGCCATGACGAAAGGGAGGCAGAATGAAGAAAATCTTATATTTTCTACCCCTCAACAGTGTGAAAGGCTAGTGGGGAACATGCCAGCCAGGATTAGAGCTCTACTACGTGCCAATGGCAGGACTACTAAATATTAATTTGATGATGTGATGGTTTATTTATTTTTTGTTCAGTTTTGAACACATTCTCTGTTATTTGTTGACTTTGATACCGACAATGTTGAGAACTGACATACTGAAACTGTCAAGAATTTAGTTTTGTTAGTTTTTCTTGTAAACAATAAACAAAAAAATATAATTTGTATTTGTTTGTATCTGTCTAATGCAGCCACACCTTTTGAAACACAAAAAAGATTTTTCCACAAATATTTCATGATAATATTTGAGATTGTGTAAAATTTTAAGGGTGTCCGAAAACTTTTTTCCACCACTGTATATATATATATATATATATATATATATATAGATAGATATAAACATCACATTTGGTGTGAACACAACATAAGTAAGATCTACTAGACATTTATTTACATACATGTGGCTGCTGATTGGATAACACCTCTGATACACCCACCAAATGAGCAAAAAAACATACCTCAATTCCTCACGTACCTTGAGGAATTGTTTAACCTTGAAACCATAGCAAAAGGGGGGCATGCTGTTTCAAGACTGAATGTGCCTCTGTGCTCTATGAGTCTCTTCACAATTCAGGTGAAAAACAAATAATAACAAAAAAAAACAAATAGCAAATAGTGTCCCACATTAACCACTCTAATACACCTGACAAGACAGATTTTTTTTTTTTTTTTTTACAATTTTCCAGAGAAATCAGAGTTTGGAGTTTTACTTACACTAAAATAAAAGTGTCCCAACAGCTCTGGTGGAGGTCAGCACTGTGACATAGCAACTATGTAACATGATAATATTTAATTATGTTACTGCTGTTGTGCCATGTATGTAAATGTGCAGACACTTGTTGCTCTGTCAGGGCTGCAAATAAGTATTAAACTCAGGGGAAAGAGTTCTTTATCTGTAACCTGTTTCATTACAGCCAGCATCACTGTATTATATCAGCCTACATTCTTATTATGCCTTGGCACAACAGCTGTGGCTGGAGGCATTTTGTTTTTGGGTTGTCCATCCCATTCTCATAAACACTTAAGAACGCATTAAGGGAATATCTTCAAATTTGGCACAAACGTCTACTTGGACCCAACGACGAACTGATTCAATTTTGGCAGTCAAAGGTCACTGTGGACTTCACATCCCTCTCATTCTCATGAAGGCAATATCTCTGGAACGCCTAGTGGGAATTTCCTCAAATTTGGCATAAACATCCATTTGGACTTAATAATGAACTGATGACACTGTGACCTCACAAAACATGTTTTTGGCCCAAACTCAAGAATTCATTTGCTAATTGTAACACAATTTCACAGAAATTTCTAACAGAATAGAATGATAGTGACAATGTTTTATATCCAAAAGGTCAAAGGTCAACTTCACTGTGATGTAATAAGGTTCTGCATAAACACTTTACTGGCCATTATTCAACGCCATTACTCAGGAACAAAAGGGAGACATTTGGTCAGATACTGAATTGGTGATACTAATCTACCCATTTTTGTAACTGTGCTGATTGTATAGATCTTCTGTGCTGCCGCGTTGCAGATGTGTGTGAAGCATTGATGTTTTAGAATATGTAGCTTCTTTGCAGCAACATCCATATTTGAAGCACTGTCACAGCCTAGACAGTGATCCAGTTGGAACTTTTCTGGTTCATAGAGGCATACATGCTTTATTAATACATATATGTTTT